ACTTTAAGAGCACACAACACCCATGGGGAGTGTACAACCTCCTGGAGCTTTTCCTTCCCTGTTTCCTGACTCTTGGACAGCACAACATTGAAGAGTCCAAGTCTAATTATCAGTCACAAAGTCACATTATTTTTACTAGTTTTTCTCCTTTTACACATGATAAAAATGATGCAATGGCCATTCATGGCATCTTGTTTGATGGAATTATTAATAAATAACCCCACTTTTCTCATTTGGGGGTCTGTGATATTAATGAATAGAGAGACACATGAGGTTATGCTGCATTAGCATTAGAAATATGTGCTAAATACACAAGGTACTGTGTTATACTGTGGTACTGTGCTTGCTGTAAAACCACTGCTGGAGGCAAAATAAAAACCCTCCTGTAAGGTAAACAACAGAGGGAACACAGCCAGAGGCAAGAAAGAAAAATGATTTCCACTGTGCTTTGTGAAAAGCTGGGGTTGAGGAAAGAAGAAGGCAGGAGAGACATTCTGAGTCAGGAGGATACACTCAGCTTACAGGGGCTTTCTAAAATGTGAAAAGCTCCTGCAGCAGCAGAGAAATGCAGAGGGGGACAGACCTCACCAGGGCTGGGGCAAGGAAGGGTTGGGAGAACACCATCAGGGTTAATAATAATTTATTTTTTTTCCCCCAATGGGCTGTCAAAGTCACTGTTCTCAAACGTGACAGGTGGCCCTGATGGGTGTCAAAGATTGCAGGAGTAAATGAGTAGTGAGGTACCAACAAAACCACCCCAAACAATAAACAAGAACACTTATTCTGTTAACAGAACTAATTATGGGGAGTTTTAGTCTTTTAGACATTGCCATCCAACAGGACTTTAACAATGATTTTAAAGTTCATGTCTATTAGCTGAGGTTTTTGGTCTGAAAACTTTCCTGTAATCAATACACAAAAAGTCTTGGGATCTCTTGAATTTCTCAGATCCACCTGGCTGAAAACCACCATCAGACCAAAGTTTCTTAAAGCATTTTTATCTGGCCTTGTTTTAGTAACCTCTCTTGACCAAAAAAATCAACTAAAATACTGTATGGAAAGAGAGGTTGTGTCCCTCTGTACTTAAAAGCAGCCAAGAGACCAGGCTGGCTTAAGTTTGCCTGTAAAATATAATTGCTCCATCTCACCTGATTTACCTACTCCTAAAATCAAGAAACACCTCCATGCAAATATTATGTTCTAGAGCTATGACAAATTCCAATATATATTGGTGGTTCAAAATAAATAAGTATTGAAAACAGCTTTTTACATCACTAAAAACTTTTACATCACTGCAAATATAACTAAAAATCTAGAAATTATTTTCCAGATAACAGTTTTTCTCTACAAACTACAGTATTCTGGAACAAATACACTCAGAAAAACAGGATAGTCCTGGACAAAACAAAGGTTTGAGAGATGGCCAGCCAAGTCTCATAGGCCAAAACTCTGTTTAAAATGTCATAGTAAGCATAGTGCCAGGATGTGATGTAATCAAGCTGTGACTGAATATTTCATCCATAGACAGTCTGTGGATCATGGGCTTCAAAATTTTCCCTAGAAAAGTAGGGTTTTTTCTGTATTTTTTTAATCATACTGCTCAGAAGAATAGAGATATTTGTAACATGCTTATCAACACCAAGAGCCCCCAGGGAAGCTGGTTTTTTCCCTGCAAATAATTTTTTCCACAATTATTCAGCAGCTGTGGTAATTTGATTAATTCATTAATTAATGAATTATTGTGGCTCAAAAGCAAACCAACTGCTGCCATTTTCCAACATGTTTCTCAGGCCTTTTGACAGCTCTAAATCTATTTGAAATAAACTTGAATTTTTCAAACAATGGCACCATGAGAACCAAGAGTGCTCTGCACTGCAGGAGTGCTGGGGGATTTCAGCTTTAGGACCAGGAGCCACTCTGAAATCTGGCATCAGCCTTCAAAGCCACACTCATCACACCTTTGAGCCTCTTACTGGGAATATGACTGGAAGCACAGCAAGAACAGGTCAGATTTACTTCTTTATATTGAAGCAGAGCAAATAAATCAATCTATTTCCACAGCACTACCAGATTCAGGCAGTCTTCACAGCAGCTCCCTGACTCTGCTCTGAGTTTGTTGTGAGCAAAGCACATCTCTGGTGTCTGTTCCATCTCTGAGGGCTTAGCCACATAGCTGGAGGTAGAATAAAAGGCAACACCTGGTGCAAAGCCAGGTCTGAAGTGCAGAAAGTTGCCTAAAATCATCTTGGGAGCTGCTGGTAGAGTGCTGCACATTGTTTTTTTCTACTTAACCCTGATGATGCAAGCATAAGACTTTTACAGCCTGGATTCACCTGACCAGTTTTGGATTTCCCAGTACTTTTGAGGTGCAGTTTATTCCAGGAGAGAGCTCAGGCAAGCTATATCCAGCAGCACCTATTTTATTTCATCAATTCCAATAGGAGTCAAGGGTGCTCAGCTGAGACACAGGCACCTGTGTTGTCTGTGGCTTGTTTCAGTCAGGGCTCCTGCAGTTATCTCAAGCCCTGTAGTTATTCTCTGACTGCATGTCTCAAAACAAAACAAAAAAAAAACCCAAAAAACAAAAAAACAAAAAAAAAACCCAAAAAATAAAAAGACACCACCCCAAAAAAAAACAAAGAAAAAAAAGGCAGTGCCACAGGGAAAATTGGCAATGTTTTGTGATGTACCATGGGATCAATATGAGCAGGCTGGAACTCACATCTTCAGGGCTCATAATTTACAAGACAACCAGATTCTTCAGATTTTTCTGTTCCCTTGAAGGAGAAGCCATGTCTGTGATTGCACCAAAAATGCTTTCAACCTCCAGCTGTTTTACACTCCTCATTAAAATTCACCCAGCTACCACACATTCCAGAGCACAGGAGCAGACACACATTTAGGAAGATTTATTTACACGAATCTAACCTAAATCGGTGCTACTCATCCAAGATCAAATTCCATTCCAACATGAGCAGCCAAAGCAAGTTAAACTTGCAACATAAAGTGCTGCCAGAGTCCTATTTTGAGAAGTTAAGTGTCATTTAAGATTCATGCTGCTTTTGCACGGTGAGCAAAAGTCTATTCCTTGAGATTTATTCTCCCATTTCATAGGGAGAACAAATCTCAAGGATTTTATATTTTTATTATTATATATTATATTATTATTATAAATTATTTTTTTATTATATTATTGTAAATTTCATGGGATAGCCTACCCCCTCCTGCCTCCTGAGGACATTTCACAGATATGAAATGTCTCCTGAGGACATTTCACAGATATCCTGCAGTCATGGCTGGGTGAGCACTTTCTCAGGTTCTGTGGAAAAATTCTCAGCAGCCACTTGTCAGGCAGGGCCAGATGGTTGAAGGCACATGAGCACTGCAAAGCCCTAGCAAGTAAGGAGCTAAAATCACTGCTTACTCAGAGTAAGTAAAATCACACTGCTTACTCCTGCACAGCACCCTCCCCCAAAGAAACAGAGCAGAAGTTCCTAAATAACCTTGAGCTTGGAGTACTACACAGGGAATCCCAACCCGGCACTAAACACTGAAATAACTCATTGAAGGTGCAGCTCTAACACCAAACCAGAGTTTCCTGCTCTTTCTGCATTCCCTGAGGGAAATTGCTGCAGCCAAGAGGGTGTGTGGAAGGCACAGATTAGACATTCCACCAAGGGACTTTGACATACCTCACTCTGATCACAAAGGGAGACTCCAAGGCCTTCAACAGCCTGGAGATACCATCCAGAACGGGTATTTACAGCCTTTAAGAAAGCCAATCTTCATGACCTCAAACCCTCCAGCAAGCTTGCTTGCCATCTGGCCAAGTAAATTGACCATTTGTCCCTATTAGAGACAGCTGGGCTGTTAAAGCTATTAAGGTGGCACAGGGAGGGAGTGAATTTTTGGTTTGGGAAGAGGCTGTTTGCAGCACAGACAGCACTGAAACATTCCTGGTTGTGAGGAGGTGACATTATTAAAGGAATAATGAGAACAGGCATTCACAAAACACCAGCCCTTGCAGATGTTCAAGTTAAAGACATGTGTTTCCTAAAAAAATATCCTTTGTTCCTATCAAAGAGATTTGCACCAAATGAAAGAGTTGTGTCTCTGACAATGCAAAGCATTCATAGTCACTGGCCAGACTTTTACAGCATACATATTTGTCTTTTGATATAGGACATCTGTGTGCTAGCAACAGTAATAAATCTGAATGTTAGCACAGATAGTTTTCCACATTTTAGGTCAAATGCTATCAAATTTAGCTTATCAGCTTATTAAGATAAACCAATCTGCTTTGTCATTAGCTTTCTGATTAGTTGCTTGGTTCCAAAACCTGGGACAGTAAATAGGGTTGTTGATTTCTGTTTTTCCATGGTATAAATGCTTAATGCCCACTGGTTACCCTTATAAATCATAAACAGGGAAATCACTGCTTGATCCCTTGCTAGAAGAGGGGAATGTGATGATTTCAGCATGTTTAAAACACGCATTCCTAACATACCTAACTGGTCTGTAATTTTTTCACAGTATAAGGCCTGAGCTTAGTTGTTGGGTTCCTTGATGTGCAACCATACTGGTTTTGATCAGCAAGCTATGCAGTGACTCTCTGTTGAGCTGGATACCTTGAGAGTTGTGGTATTGTCTTCCAAAGGTAGCAGCCTTTCCTGGGAGCAAACAAGAAAAATGGGATACAGCTTTGCAGAGCTCTGTACCACAGCAAACTGTCCTTTGCTGGGTGCAGACTGCAGCATCCTCCAGGCTTTTGCAGGTCTAACCCATGGGGAAGTAAAGAGAGGTAAGTGCTGCTGTTTTAGAAAAGAGGACTTGAGTGTGCTCCAGGATAGCTGGAAGGGCTCCAGCAAAGAAAATTTAGTCAAACTGCACGTCACGTGTCTGCTTTTGTGCTGGGAGATCTGTGAGGAAGATAAAAAAAAAAAAAAAAAAAGAAAATTACGTGCTTTTAATACGTTTCCCAACGTGTGTTCTTATTTTAGAGTCGACATACCGTCACCAAGCTACCATTGATGATGAAGTGGTTTCCATGGAGATACTAGACACAGCTGGCCAGGTGCGTGGGTGGATGTGCTGCTGCTACCCAGTGCCTTGGCTGGGGTGTGCAACAGGGCAGGAGATTGTGCTGGTGGCAGCAGTGCAGGGGCTGGCAGGTGTGCCCTGCTCTGGGGACACAGATTTGCTTCTGGGCAGAACCCCTTCTCTCCTCCCCCGTGCTGGATCCAAACCTTCTGCAAGGGACCCTGCTTGGAAGAACAAACAAGTCAAGGGGTTTACTCTGGGGGTAAAATTATTTTGTTGTCCTGCCTTTTTATTCAGGGCCAGCCCAGAAAGCAGGCGCAAAGTCACGGTCTATTTCTACAGTCAAGTGATGAGGCTTGGCAACTTCAGCCAATGATTCCCACTAGAGTGAAGAGCAGATTTGTCGTAGTCAGATCTCCCTTTTAAAACATTGCAGGTGCACGTGCTGCACAGGCCTAGGCAGGTCTCGGCCTGGGTGAAACAGATCTCCTGTGCCACTGATAAAAAAGGTGATGTGAGCAAAGTATAGAGCAAAGCAGATGCACGCGGGTTTGTAGGATCAGCACCTCTCTGGAGACCTGCTGTCTTCTTCATAAATCACTCTTCTGAAAGGGATCCTGCTTGGAAGTACAAACAAGTCAAGGGGTTTACTCGGGGGGTAAAATTATTTTATTGTCACACCTTTTTATTGAGGGCCAGCCCAACAAGTAGGCACAAAGTCACAGTCTATTTCTACAGTCAAGTGATGGAGCTTGGCAATATCAGACAATGATTCCCACTGGAGTGAAGAGCAGATTTGTCATGGTCAGGTCTCCCTTTTAAAACATGGCAGGTGAACAGGCCAGGTAGGTCATGGCACAGGGTGGAATAGATCTCCTATGCCACGTGATAAAAAAGGTGATGTGAGCAAAGTACAAAGCAAAGAAGATGCACACAGCTGTAGGCCTGCTGTCTTCTTCATAAATCAAATTCCTAAGGCATTCTTCTGTCTTTTTTGAACAGGAGGATGCCATTCAGAAAGAGGGACACGTGCGATGGGGCGAGGGCTTCGTGCTGGTTTACGACATCACGGACAGAGGCAGCTTCGAGGAAATGCTGCCGCTTAAGAACTTGTTGGATGAAGTCAAAAAGCCCAAAAACGTCACCCTGATCCTGGTGGGGAACAAAGCAGACTTGGACCACTCCAGGCAAGTCAGCACGGAGGAAGGTGAAAAGCTGGCCACGGAACTGGCGTGTGCTTTTTACGAGTGCTCCGCTTGCACGGGAGAGGGCAACATCATGGAGGCGTTCTACGAGCTCTGCCGCGAGGTGCGGCGCCGCAAGATGGTCCAGGGCAAGACTCGGAGGCGAAGCTCCACCACCCACGTCAAGCAGGCCATTAATAAGATGCTCACCAAAATCAGCAGCTAAAAAGAGCTCTCCTAAGCCAGAGAAGCGTTTTAGAGCGTATTAGCTTGGAGTAGGGATGGGGCAAGCAGAGCGCGTTTAATGAGAAGTGGTCAAAACTTTGCAATGAAGAAAAAAAACTACAAAAAGACAAACACCGCCACTTTTTTGAGTAACACGGAATCATACTATTTTCCTGTTTTGAGATGTATTTAGCCACACTGCTTTTGACTACTGTGGGGGGGAAAAAAAATCAAACACCAAATGAACTCCAAATGACTAGACAATTGTGGGGATTGGCAACCAAGAGAGAAAGTTCTGCTTCTACGTGGCTAGCTCCAATCCCCTGCAAGTCAGTAGTGCCTAAACATCACTTCCAGCCAGACTGCTGCTCAGTAGCCATTGGAGAGTAAGATTCAGCCCTCAGTCCATCAACAACCATCACAACTGGTGTTCTCCAGGACTGAATACGTGTAGAGACTTCTGTGTTGAAACAGAAAGTTCACCTGAACACCTTCACCAGCTCTGAGTTGGCTCATTGTACGCTTTCACTCCTTCCTTGTTATTTTTGTCAAATCCATGAGTGTTGATGTTCTTAGCAAGGTATGCAAAAAATATAGGAAAGGTCTATTTCCTGGAGTGTTTAGCCAGCTAGACACACATTTCAAGAGAGCTAGAGTTCAGCTGCTCTTACAGCTCCTCTGAAACTGTAGAGTTCTCCAGAAATAATCATTTAGTCCAGCAGCATTTCACCATTTCCCCTCAAAGCATTGCACTGTGCTTGGGGAAATGGGAGTATGTGTGCTGGGAAATCAAACTGAAAAAAAAAAAAAAAGAACCATATTACTATTGATTTAGCTATGGTTAGTATTTAGATTTTTTTTTGGCTTTTTTTTTTTTTGATTCAAGTAGTTCCTCTTAGTTAGTTTTATACTGAAGAACTGAATCGTTGGGAAGGCAAGTATTTACAGTCTAAGCCCAAATGTAAATCAGAACTGAATGGCCACTATCATATCAAAAGACCATAATATTCAGCCGTTTAAACTTCCAGATTCTGCTTGGAGCACTCTAGGGCTCAAAGCAATGCAGGTTTTTTGTGACTTTTATCTGACACATTGAAGCGGAAATGCATTTTATCAGATTTTGGTGCCTGGGATGTCCAGTGCTTTCCTTCGCCCTCATAATCTCATTCAAGCCAGCTGCCAAGTTTTGCCTCCTGTCTAGATGGTTTCTTAACTGTTAAAAGATGCAAGAACCAAGATTGGAAGCTTTTAATTCAGATTGTGCTGGTCTTCCACCAGTGGTGTAGCAGCTCAGGCAGTCAACGACTGCCAAGGGTTGGGATGACAAATTGGCAGTGTTCTCCTTTGAGAAACAGCCCCCTTGGAACATTTGCTTACAACTTTACTCTCCACTGCTTTGTACTTAATGTGGGTATTTGCGAGGAAATAAGTCCAAAAGCCTATCAAATGCAAATTGCCACAGGTGTAGGAAAGTGAGTAAATCTAGCTGGCTATCACTTTGTAGAGCTATAGGTAGCCATATAAGTGGTGGAATAGGCTGAAGAGGCAGATCTGTATACCCATGTGAACAGAGAAAAGTTCCAAATTACGACTTCTATCAAAAATACTCACTTAAAGATATTTCACCAAAGTACTTTTTTTTTTTTTTTTAACTTTTACCTAACCAGCAAAGAACATCACATTCAGATGTATATTTTAATATTTTATTTGGGCTGTTGTTTGTTTTCTCTGCTTCTGTATTCTAGGTGGTAAAAACTCATTTCACTGTCCTGGAATGTCTGTATTTTGGTCCTCATGTTCACGTGTGCTGCTGTCCATCAGCTGGACACACTGCAATGGAAACTCCACCGTGTGCTTCTGGGCAGGGGGTTCTTGCAACAGGCCTCTGTGACACACTTGTTCCCAAACTACTCATCATATCATTAACTTTTTTTAAAAAGGAAAAAAAAAAATGGAAAAAAAAAAGAAAAATAGAGGTTTTGACACTTTTAGTATTGTAGAATCAACACAAGTGTAAAAGAGCGAGCTAGTGCCTGTTCACAAAGCAGAATTCTTTAGCTGAGGGACTGAACTTGCCAGCAATTTAGTTACATTAGGAGCCAGAGTGAGCATTTGCAAGTTGAAGCACTGGGGTTCTGTTATCTTTCAAATCAGTGCTGGTACACGTATCTGAAATAAACAAAATCCTTACCTGCAATCCCATGGCAACGTAGTCACGTCTTTGCTTTGGTATGCTAAGCAATTGGTTCATCCCTCTTAGAAAACCTCAACAGTTCTTTTATCTGAAAATCCTTTCTTGGGGTTCAGGTTGGAGCTGCATTTAAAATACAGAAAGGTTCTAAATGAATGACAAGAGAAAATAATTAATCATATTCATAGGAGGAGAGTTGAGAGGAAGGAGAGGCTAAGTTACAGCCCTTGTACTTTCTAAAAGATTTCCAGCAAATTGTATCTTCTTTAATAACATCTGTGTGGGTAAATTATAAAATCCTGGTGAAAATAAAACGTTCCACTGTGCAAACATCCCTTGTTACATAAAGAACCTACAATAAAAATAGTAACACTCCTTTGCAAAGACTGAAAACTGCCAAACAAGATAAACACTTGATCAGAAGGGAGGCTGCCATTTTGTGACATTTCCTCCAAAACAAACCTCTTTAATTGATCCTTAATTTTTTACCTTGAAGCCAGTTCTGTTGATATGCATAACATAGCATTAAATGCAACTTGATCTACTGTTGCTCACCATGTTGCAACCTATTACTGGATATGTTATAAATCTGTCATATTCCCACAATGTGTAAATTGAGCCCAAAATTGCCCAAGCATTGAAAAGGCTGAGTGCAGCATGAATCCACATTCAGTAGCCTTTCTGCAGCAGACATCAACAGATTAAATTCTGTCGAATTTTGTGTTCAATTTTCTCCTGCTGCTGTTTAAGTGTGTGTATGTGACACTAACATTGAATTTCTCTCCTCTGCCCGCTGCCATTTCTGCAGAGAGAGGATGGGAAAGAAGATAAAAATGGGGAGGAAAGGTGAAAGGGATACTTGTTACCTTCAACAAGTTGATTGTCATTTATGAAGTTTTTTAAATATTTATCTTCAATTGATGAAGAGTTAGTCATGCCCGTGCTGCAAGACCTGGATCAGGACCCAAAACTTCCCTAGAACTTTGAGAATCTTTATATCTGGGGGTTTGGTGCAACTGCAGATGGAAGTGAGGATCACCCACTGGGTTTGCACCTGGATCCAGACAGGTTGTCCCCAACCTGGGGATAGTTGGATCTGGCAGTTTGCTACAAGGCTAGTTGATTTTTATATATATAATGATCTGTATGCATTTTTACATTAAAAATATGAAAGCTTGTGCTTGTAGATAATATATAAGAAAAAAAATAAAAAAGAAAAAGCAAATATAGTGGTTTTTGTACTGGACTGTCACATATTGATCTTCCATTAGATGTCTCCAGTGTTCCTTTCAGCTATTAAGGGGCCAGTTCCAAATGCCCTGGTTTGGTTCTTATTTAATCTTTATCTACAGAAAAGAAACCGTGAATTTTACCTGAATAAGCGCTGTAAAATTTGGATCCTTTTACTTGGACTTATTTGGCTGTTAGTCCTGGAATAGAGAAGTCAAACAGCATCTACAGTGAGGCACAGCTCCAAATGTCCTTGCTAACTATTTCAGGGCTGATGAAAAAAGTTACAGGGTAATTAACTAACCCCCAAAAGCTGTCCTGCCAACTAAATAACACAGATCTTGATCCCAAGCTTCTGAGGTGAAATCCTGGGATAAGAAGTCTGGGAGATTTATGCTGGTGGTTTGGACAGAGGCAACTTTTCACCTGCTGCCAACTCTGCCCGTGTTCCAAGGACAATGCACTGTTAATCTGAGGAGGAGGTGCATTATTTGTACCTTATGAAAGGTACTTGATATGAATGGTAAATAATCAGAGTGTGGGTATTAAGCTGCAGCAGAGGAAGCTTCAGCACTGCAGAGGGGAGCTGTAATCTGTTCTTTTTCCCCCAAACCTGGGCCAAGCAAAGCACGATGAACAGGAGTGGGGTACAAGAATGTCACAACAGGCAGAGCACTGCATAAAACCTGGGTGCAGGATTTGGGCTGGGAGGTGAAACATCCCAACACCAGTCACTGTCTGCCTCTGGAGCACTGCAGAGCAGCCTGGAGTTTTGTCAAGCCACAGAACATTATTTTGCTCCAGTCAAAATAATGTCTCCTGCAAAGTTAAGTAGCTGCAGTCATAAAGGAAATGCATAAACAGTCTTGGGGTTCCTTTTATCTTTTCCTTTAATGGCTCAATACATATGCAAATCTTAAGAAGAAGAAGAAAAAGAGGCTTTAATTAACAGAGGCTTCTTGGCATTTTGATGTATCTGCCTTTATGCTCTTTGCAAAATTAAACCTGCAATGAAAACAGTGTCATGTTAGAGACTCCGGTGTTGTGCGTTTTATTTGCTTTACAGATGCCAGGCACTAATTACCTCAGGCTATGAAAATACAAAGCACAGCTTGTCCGGTGCTGTGCAGGGTTTCTGGGAGGTGACAATGGTGGGAGGCCAGCTCAGCCCGGTTTCTGCAAGCCCCACTGCCCGTGGGGAAGGCTGTGAATGCAGCAGGAGGAGAGGTGGCAGACACTGGGGCAGGGCTCTGCTGGCTCTGCCAATTCCTCTCATCCACCCGAAGGATTTTATCCATTTTCAGCTTAAATAAACTGGCAAGAAACACTAATTCCTCACTACTACTGGCTGTTAACAAACCCAAGGATTTGAGGGGAGTTTGGCCTTTTTTGGACTGGTCTCTTTCATCTCCAGCTTGATTCCCCAAAGTAACATTTGTGTTTTGCTGTTTCTATCATATTAAATGAAATAATTTTGAGTTTTGTTTGGTTGTTTGGTGTTCTTTTAAAGAGTAGTTGTCAATAAACTCTGATACCCATGGGCAAAGAGGCTGTATCACTTCTCAGAGGTCACTCTTACAAGGATGGATATTTGCTAATGCCTCTGGATATGAATTATTCACACTGAACACAGCAGCTCTGAAGAGTTGGAAATAATTTTTTTTTCAATAAGGGAACCTCTCATCATTGTAGTATAGATGGCTGTGTCAAGTACCAGTCTAAACCAGACTGAAATATTCTGCATCACTAGGAGCAGCCATGGCCTGTCATGAAATATCAACATGCAGAATAATAATAAAAAAAAATTAAAAACAATTTACAGGTCTGTCATGAAATATCAACATGCAGAATAATAATAAAAAAAATTAAAAACTATTTACAGGCAGACTTCAAATTATACCTCACAGAAAAAACCTGCACATTCTTTCCTTTTAAATTTTATGTCGTATCAGGAATTTACAGAACCTCATTTCAAAATCCAGCAAGTTCTGGAGGCTAAGAATGTATCAGTAATGTAAAAAATAAGGGTTTTTATCAAACTTCTCAGTACAGATCATTTAACTCTCCACTCTGTTTCCTCTAGCTTGGTCAAAGCCGTCATTACTACAAAGAATATCAAAGAGAGACAGATGGAACTTTTTATATGAAAAAAAATCAAATTAAAACCCCCAGTAAATAACCCCAGAGGGACATAATCCAAATAAAGGTTGAATTGTCATTTTCCCAAAAAGCAACTGTAAGATTTCACACACCAGTGCTGGTACACAGGTGATCTGACCAAACTAAATAATCAGCCAACAGTGGAATATTTTGAGGTTTTAACTTGGATTTCTTTTTGCAAATCTAACTGTAAAGAAATAAAATTATTATTGTTCAACAGACATTAGGTCTGGAATTTGTAATTGATGCCAGGTTTTTGATATCCAGCTTTTAAAAATCAAGAGGAGAGAAGAGGAGAGGGAAAAGAAAAAGAAAACAGAAAAGGGGAAAAGAAGAGGGGGAAAAAAGAGAGAAAATAAAAGAAAATAAAAGGAGAAAAACCTAGTTGTAAAAAGTCCAAATAATTTTCTCTTTGTTCTTAGGGTTTCTCTGTGCAGAGCTTCCTCTAGTTCTGCAGTTCCTCACCAAAGCCAGTGCTAGGACACTGAACACTGACACTTGCTGTCCAAAAATCTCATCTCTCCTAAGGACAGATACAATCCAAACCACATCCATGTGAACATTCAGCTCAATTCCAACCTGGGATTGAAGTCTACATCTACTTCAATCCAAATTATT